TCTTACCGGTACGTGCGGCCGTCCTCTCTCTCTCTCTCTCTCTCTCTTACTCTTCCACTGGTTTCTCCGGCATCTCGTATCTTTTCTCTCGAGAACCCTCGAGTGGGACCGCTTTTGCTTTCTGAACCGACGCTTGCGTCGCGTAAGAAAAAGAAGAAAAGAAGAGGAGGAGAAGAGAGAAGGAGGTGAAGTGGAAAAGGAAGGGAAAAAAAGAGCACGCTCTTGCTCGTTCTCGTTCCACGCAATATTTATACCCTCGCGCGGCGTTTCTTGACACCGGAGGAATAATCAAAGCGAAATATCTCGATCCTCGAGTGGAGAAGTTTTGTGACGGGATGAATAGTTGAGGAGGACGCTGTTCTCGCGTCGTGCCTCGTTGATATCGTTACTTGGAAAATGATTAAAAGGTAAATGTGTCTCTCGATTTATAAGTTGGAATATTAAATTTTTAAAAAAACGACGAGCAGTCGATGTCACTTTCTCATATATTTCAGGGAACATCCTTCGACTTCGTGTCATTCGTTAATTATCCTTTACTTTTCTGTAACGATAAATGTATTAAAGATTGCACGATTCCAAGTTGATCACTCACATATTTTTTCCATTCCTTTCTTAAAAAAAAAATATCTCGCTATATTGAATAAAATTCGAAATAATCAAAAAATAAAAAAGCCGCTTCTCCCTCGAAAATTATCCGAATAAATTTATTCTGCCCAGTTTTGCCTCGACACGAGGTATCCAACTCTGTCCATTGGCGTTATCCACGTTCGAAAAATATTTTTCCAAGAGTTCGCCCGCGGAATTAATGAGGAGAAAGTAAACGAGAGAGAGAGAGGGGAATTGGAACGAGATTCCCTCCGACTGGTTCCGGCCAGTTAGCGTGACACGTAACAATTTCACCGCGATTCGCTCGCGAGCAATTAGTGGCAGCGCCCGCTTACTCGTTAAACTAATTACACGTGTACAAACTTGCAGCGATTGTTAGACGAGAGGACATCAAAAGTAGCCCCATCCCCATAGTCGTTATAAGTGGAAAAGTAGCTATCACAGCAAGGGGTGACTCGAGTGTCGTTGGAAACGCGAGCGACGTCACTGCGGTTCTTCCCGTCAAAGATGGTGGGAAAATTTGAATCGAAGTTAATAAGGATAAAGTTACTTCGATAATTTATCATTCAACGCGTCGACTAACCGCGGATAATTATAGTGGCCGAGGTTACGTTCAACTAGTTACTTTTCTGATTTTAGTTTCTCTTTTTTGCTCCCAACTCTGGCTCCTCGCCTCGCGACTTGGCAAACTGCTGAAATATGTAAATGGGGGGACCGATCTGACTTGCACGACGCCGATTTTCAGAAGAGCGTCGATGGACGAGGATTATGCGACGCTATTGGAGAATCGGGGGTTGATTAAGAATCGAGAAGTTTGGAGGTTTTCTCTTGCTTTTCGAACGGTATGTGGCATGATAAATTGGAAATTGGGAGTTTGTATTAAATGTATGTCTCGTTTGTGTAATAATAGTTGAAGGAAATGGTTTTAACATTTTTTTTTTATTTTTCAAGACATGGAGAACGTTTGAATAATTGGCACGATTTAAACTTGATTTTTGGGAAATCATAAGAGGAAAGTAATTGTATGGAATCGATTGTAATAAATACGGAATTTGTTATCCTGAAATTTTTTAGAAATATCGATTCTTGATCTGATTAGTTATTTTAAATTTAATCTCCTGTGCAATTTAAATATTACAGATGAGAAATAAGATGAGAAATCTTACTAGAGTAGTGGATCATGAAAAATCAATGATTGATCAAAACGCGAGATTTAAAAGTTGAGAAATATCAGTATTATTAAAATATCATCGATCGATGCCGCAGAGGAGCGGGTCTTTTGTTGCTGTTAATGAAGTTTCAAGTCGAGTCGGGCCAGTATCCTTTAAGACAACTGACAGCCTTCCAAGAAGAAGTTTCGAACGGCGTGGATGGTGTATCTCTACGGAACACCGACGGTGTTTTGAAGTCCAAAGACTTCAAACGTGATTTTAGACGCTCGAGAAGTTTTCGTGCGGTTGATAATTAGAAGCTTTAAGAGTTTTCGAGATATAAAATGAATCGTTCTAAATCCGTTCTCGATTCTTTGGAAATCGATAAATTGAATCAAATCGAATCTGATTGATTATATATGAACCGAGAAATATAACAATAATTATTGTGTCGATTATTGATTTTTATGAAATATTACTCAAACGAATATTATCTTACATTGTGACATGTAATTAAAATTTGTCACAATCTCGTATCAAATTGTTTCCCAATTGGAACACAAGTGGAAAATAAACAATTTCAAGTGGAATTAACTCCTTGCTTAAAAATGTTTTTCACGACAGGAAGATTTAATAATTGCAAGTCTAAATTCCCAAGCTTTTTAACTGAAAACACCTTTCACGACATGATAGAACTGTTTACCCGAGCTCTTGGCGCGCTCCACGAAGTGGCAGAGTTAATAAGCCAGGATCTTGGATTTATTAACTTTTTAACTAGTCGACGTGCTTCTTCGTAAGGCCACGGTCGTCCTGTATAATCCGTACACTGTGGATAATCGCGTTAATTTGATTTCTCCGCAGTCATCTCGACAACTTGAACTTATTAACCAAGGAAAACGACCAAACTTCTTCTTGTAATTTAAAGTTTACGCGAAAGTGAATTCGTGTTTTACGTCATTATAAAATCAGCAACATCGTTAACGATCTCATCATTGTAATGAATAAATTATGGTGAAATATCAATTTCTCCACCACATTCGCTTTTCTATGTACAAGAAAAATTGAAAATGCATATTTCATTCCTTATACACATTATAGAAGATCTGTAATTAAAATACGCCAACTTAATCTAGGGATCCCTAGACGGTTTAAGTCACCGATTTTTAATCATTCCTAGCATTCGGTGAAATTGTAATAATAGAATATTATACATATCTTTGTTGTCTTAAGTTTTGAATAATATTGAATTTTCGAGGAACGATAATTCAATGTCATCAACGATTTTTAATAAATTCCTATTACCAAATACTCGAAGAATATTAAAATTTAAATCGCTCGGTGAAAAAACCTAATTAACAAAATTTCCAAAAACCACCTATTATTACTCATGCATCAACGAAAAAAAGAAATAAATTGTGAAAGCATCGGTGGAAGCATAAACTTTAAAACGAGAAACCACGCACAACACCCATCAAATCAAACAAAGTTTCCACGACACTTTGGAAACTTCCACCCAACGTACACGTATCGCGCATGCGGATTCCCTCTTCTTTCCCTCTTCGTACGAGGGAGCAACTTGTTTCGCTCTATCCACCCCTGCTTAAAAGGATTGAATCCCAAGCAAGGAAAATGGATAAAACGCTGCGCTGTTTCGAAAGAACAGGGGGCGTATATTTCGAGGCGATCCCCGCGTTGATATCGTCGCGATTCGACACGCGGATTTATCGAGGGGCGCGCGCACAAGCGGAACGGAAACGTTTCCCGCTATTTCCTGCCGCGCTTCTTTTTATCGCCGGCCGATGCTCTTCGAACGGAACTCGGCCGAATAATGGCTGCGAAGGAAACTCGTTGTCCCGCGCGAATTTATTTCACGAAGCCTCTTGCACCGATTTATATACGCTCCGGATGATCTGTACGAAACGATTGAGCCAACATCTTCCTCGTTCGTCGTGGAAAACGGTGGTGTTATTGTGACGAGGCGCGCGGCTCCCATTGTGCGGGAAACGAGTTGGTTGGTCGGGTTAGAAGGTTCGAGTCTTCGAAGGAAATGTTGGAAATGGAATTGGCGGCGAGGTGTAAAGCGGTGATTAGATCGGTCGTGATTATTGAGGAGAAGAAAGATTGGATTTGGACGAGTTTCGGGGGATTTTATACGATTGGATACGATTGGTAATTATTGGGGTTTTATTTTATTATACACGTGTGTCGATCTTTCTGTGGAAATGATGTATTCGAATGTTGTTGCGAATCGATGATTAAAAGTGATGTCGAAGAGAGGAGCGCAAGAAACGTTTCACGTTTGGTTTCTTGCGCAAAGAGAAAAATCATCAACGTTTCATTAGTTGCCACGCGAATGGATCATTAGAGACACGAGAAATGGTATCTTTCCAACAGATGTAATTGAGTTGTGATATTTCACGGGTAAAAATCAGAAGGAAGGAACTTATTCTTTTAATAACAAAAGAAGAAGAAAAAAATCTCGGTTCACCTAATTTACCGAGTATTACTCGAACGGTCAAAATTTCTCGAGGAAAGATTTCCGGTACGTTTTAAACGGGAATTGGCTGAAATATCGCGAATAACGTCGTTCCCTTTTTTTCTTTTTCTTTTTTAAATTCTCCGAGAAACCGTCTCTCTGAATGCATTGCGAGATTATACAAGTGATGCAGCTCGGGAGAATGCAGGATCAATGGAAGGAAATGTCGAGAAAAGAAGAGAAATGAGAATTTACCTTGAGCGTATCCTGCAAGTTTTGTACTCTACAGTGCATGTATACTTGAGCACCGAGTTGCACGGTAATGTTGCTCTCTGGATCTTCGAAAAAGGGCCTCGGTTCTGGAGTGCCGCCCGTTTCTGTTGCGAAACTTTCCACCTCGTATACCTGTATAGATCAAAAGAGAAACAAACGTGATAGAAAATACCAGGCCACCTTTCTCTTTTCTTTGAGGTTGACGTTGCGCGAGTTTATAATTAAAAGGCAACAATAGGAGATGAAATCTATACAAAGTTGCCTGAACGGAGATAAGAATTTAAGTTAAAGACACGACTGGCGCGATAATCGAAAGAACACTTAATAAATAAACCCGTTAATCGTTAATTTTTTCCAAAAAAAAGAATCTTCAAAAAATTCCAATTTGATTCCAAACGAATACTTCTTTCACTTTTCCTTTCGTTCCAGAGATTTTATTCTCAACGTGCGAAAGAAAAAAAAAAAAAGAAGGCTGTACAATCATGTACACCCATATAACTCCAGTTTCAAACTTTCAGATCTCGTTAGGGAGTTTATTAATAATAAACGAGAATCCTTGATAAAATGCAAGGGGAGGGATACCGTTCAAAAATAAGGTTTATTAAATTCACGGGAAGATCGGTTGAACGCTTTGTAACTTGAAAAGTTACGTAAATATTTGAGAAGGTCTTAAACCGCGTCTCGTCTCGCCTTCCATCACAAGGGATCACCCCCTCCCCCCCTCCTCTCCTCCTCCTTCCCATTGTCTGTAGCAAAGCAGGGGCGAAAAGTATGTCCTGCCTTTTTGAAAAGACATTTTCAACTGCTCATTCGAATTATACAGCCGACTTACCTCGGTAAAAGGCGAACTGAGCTCATGCCAGAACGACCTAGGCAGGTTTTCCAGTCCAGGAAACGGCTTAGCACCTGAAACAATTTAGAAACCAGATTACACGTCTCTCCCCCGTCTAAGCTTTATTACAGAGAGATACAACGATATAATTAAACTTGCCCGCAAATTTACCGCGCCCTCCTCCTCCTCCCCCCCCCCCCCCTCCCTCCCCTTAACAACGTCTACTCGGTTGCAATAAATGAACGACACTCTTAATTATTCGAACGAGGCCGCGCAGTTTGATTAAATCGGCACGAGCCCTATTATTCCGCGATAATGAGAATTAAACTAAAATCACGGGGAGAAATTCGATTTTCGAGGAATTATATGTAATCCAATTCAATTATCATGCTGTTGTTGTATAACTGTATGATTTAATTAATAACGTAACAGGTGTCCAGTATGTGTGTGTGTGTCTAGTAGTAGTTCGCGAAAATATATATTCGAATTTTAATCTATCGTGGTTAATCTTAATTTTAATGAAAGTTTGCGCGAATATTTTTTTTTCTTTAAAGAAAATGTGGGATATTTTTAGATGATAGAAGAGAAAGAGAGAGCGTTAAAATTTCAACATTTTGTGTATCATTACTTTTTTATTTAAAAAAAAAAAAAAAAAAAAAGTAGGGGAATTTCAGAAGAATAAATTTCAACTTTCGCAACAATGATATATCGGTAGAAAAATAATCTCGACATCTCGTGATTTATATTAATAGCAACGATATATCCAAAAATTAAATGCAACGTGCTTATTTTCATTGTTGACAATTTTGTTTTTCAGCGAATGTTGAAATAGTTACTGTGTAAATAAGGGGATATCAAATGGGATATAGATCAATACATATATTTATTTTAGAATTTTTTATTTAGATCTAACGCGTTTCTATTTAAAAAAAAATATATATATATATATCTATTTCCTTTATTCGTAAATATAACGAAAGACAAACAAGTGTAGCGTTTATCTGAAAAAATATTTTTGATGGACGCATCGAAAAATGGTGTGCATAGGGACAAGGGTTGTAAAAACTAATCGATCCGCTTTTTCTAGGGGCCGATATATAACGAGTGTTCCTGTTGTACGTCCATTTTATAGTGCGCTTCGTTAAGCAAAATCCTCTGGATTAAGCTAAATTCTACCAGTCGTCAAAAGTAAATAATTGTTTTGGAAGAAATACCTTTTTCACAGTTAAATATAATAATTATCTAACTTGGTGAATTTTCACGATAAAACTTTGATTCCTTTTCTTAAAACTTTACTTCATCTTACAGAGACAAGATTCTAAAAAAACAATTAACCGCAAAAGCGCATTGCTGACAATAAAGATAATAACAATCAAAATCGCGAGAGCCAAAGTATTAATCGTTTTCACACCAACTTTTTCAAATTTTGATCGTAAAAATGTACACGATGTGTGTACATTAACGTAATAAATTCATAGGAAAGTAAAAATTTTCAACATTATCGCGATAAGTCTAAAGGATCGATGCCAAAAATTCTTGCTCCGATCCCATTTTGAAAAAAAAAGAAAGAAAGAAAACGGTTCGGCTGTGAAGACGGAAAGAGGACGAGTTTTCGAGAAAACCGGCCACGTCGGTCGTTAGTGTAATAGACACGGAAAATCGAATTACTATGGAAACAATCGCGAAGTTGGGGGAACGAGTGCGCTGCAGTGGAAAAGTTTTTCACTTTCTAGAGGAGCGTAGAAGGAAACTCGTTCGCTTGTCGACGAATAGAATGGCCTTATCAGGGGCGAGCACACGCGGCCGTACGCGAGTTTCCAAGACGATACACATAAATGTATTCCCCCTCCAAGGTTACACGGCACGCCAGAGGGAGCAAGAGTAAACTTAGCTGAAATAAGAGATCCGGCGTGAAGAGTGTGAATAGAGGGTTGGCTGCGTAATTAACGAGGGGTAAAATTTTGAATGAGATCATTCCTCGTCTTTAATGGAACACGTTGAAGTCGAGGTATCGAATGAAATTTGCAATTAGTTGGAACAGCTAGTGATTTTTTTTTTTGTTTGTTCTCTTGTTGAACAAGTTTTATTTCGAGTGTAAATTTATTTGCTTGGAAGCAGAGAAAAGTTATGGTTGAACAGTGATATTTATTCTCCGCTTGAAAAAGTTAAAATTTTGACTACAAGTAGTTTTTATTCCGATGAGACATGTAAAATAAGTCTCGTTGAATATTTTCTGAATATATTATAATCCGCCTGATTGTTGACGAGATGTTAATATATTCGCAGGCTTCCTTCTAGAAAGATTTAATTCTAAAGAAAAACAGGACGAATACAAAAATGTCGGTTGAGTCTATATAGATAGAGCAATCTTAATTCGTATAACGCCAATTTATTTTGGCTTCAAAGATATCCTACGAATACTTCTGCTGCCATTGATCAAATATTATAAATTTGATTTATTTGCAATTTAGTTATTAACTACTTCTAAAAAAAAAAAGATACATATAAGAATAGAAATCGAATTTTACCAAATAATTTCATTTCTAAAATTTTACGATTTCGTTCAATTTTTAATTGATAAAATAATATTATAAAATTAGATAAATTTGCAATGTTCATTACAGAGAATCTTGCTATACCATATAACTATAGGAAACATGCTTCGCAACTGTGCATAGGATCACTTCGTGCTGACAACTTTGGGAGTACCAAAGGTACAATGTTGACAAGTACAATAAAACAGAATCTGGAACTGGCAATCCTCAAGAGTCCCAATAACAAATAGAGTTTAATTCCAAGATCGTGGAATTGAACTTCTCGCCGAGGTTACGAGCAACCTCGTATTCATAAAACGGCTTCAAAGCGATGAAACGGAATTAACGATCTCAAAGTCATTAGGTGAAACAACGCTCGACTAGCCGCCATTTTAGAGTTCAATAAATCTCGGTACCAGATATATCAAGAGGACTTTAAAAATCTATAATTGAACGTTGGAGATCGAAACTTTCTACGAGGTACTTTCATGAAAATTATAGGATTCTGAAAAGTCAATATAATATCTAAAACTTCAAAAATTTAATTACAAGTATTTTCAATTTATTCCATTTTTATATGCCATTTTTATACATGGTATAAAATATTTGTTATAAAAATATTCAAATAATAATTGATAGATATTCAAATGATTGCAGACCTATGGTCTCGTTCTCTAGGTATACCTAGAATATCCTAGATATCCCTAGTACCTAGATTCTTTATACAAAACATCGAGTTTCGAGTTTCGTTTCGAGTTATATCAATGATAAACGATTATACTCTAGCAATTGTTAATGATAAAAATAATCTCTATAAGTAAAGTATTGACATTTTATATTATAAGTGAAGCGCATGGAATGTATGGACAATGATTCTATCATCCCTGGCACGAGACTCTAATCTTCGAATCATATTGTAACCCTCACGATCAAGGTCTTTAGTATCGACTTCCGGGGTTGTTCGTATCGCATGTTACAACCTCGTCGCCGATATCGAGCTTCATTACATAGGGGTCATCTGTGTCGTGTTTCACCAGCTGGGATTCTCGATATCGGGTTTCATGACTATCAAAGTGTCTATATAAGTGAAAACTGATATGGAACAATTGCATGTTATATGTAGTAACGATCATTTGTATCACGTTTATCTAAAACGGTTCATCATTTGAGGGAGGAGAGGGGAAGGAGATAAAAATTTTATCGCCTACAATAATTATTTTGAATGTGAAAAAACTTTAAAAATCGACGAATTAACGACAGCTTCTTAAACAAAGTTTTTGATCCAATCTATCTTAAAACTTTTTATGCGTGTTTTTAAAGAAGTTCAACCCATACTTGGTTAATTAAGATGAAAGTTTCGCGTTATCATCATCAGTTTATGAACCATATTATCTCGATAAAACGTAGAAAAAAGCATAAATTTTTGCAAGAATAATTTCAAAATATTAATTCTAAATTAAAATAAACAATATCAACTTGTCGAAAATTCTTTTCTCGTTGCTTGTAACAAGATTTAATTTGAATTAAATAATACGATCTTCCCTTGTTCAGATCAATCCCTTGAGTGCTTTACGAAGAATGACCGTAAACTACAATGTCTCTCAGATGTCGTAAACCTAATCAAAACTTAATTTAAACCCTTAAAAATATCAAATATACAAAATTGAATTTAGTTTATAGCTTCAACCAACGTGTTTTCTCGTTAGTTAGTTTCAATTTCTTTAAATTTTTGTATTTATCTCACTTAAACATTTTCTACAATTACCACTTTCCCTACTACTCAACCTAATGAATGCTATGACGGTTGCATACGTAATAGGCGTTAGTTTACCTTACTTTCGCATATCTCTGGCATTCATATAATCATCATTCGTTTAAAATAATACTCATACTTGCTCATTTCTAACTACTATTCCACTAATTTTGCACATTTAAAACGTCCTCGAGCAAATGTTCACTCTCGACAACTAAAACTTTAGAAGCACTTCACCCTCCAAAATCTTCGACCAACTTTTTAAACAAAACGCTCCGCGTGTTCCACGACAAATATTTTATTCAATTTTACCATATTATATCGAGGACGCGATCGATCACGATAATTACACGTTTAATCGTTCTTTCATCGGTATTCAATTTCGCCTGGACGAAATGCAGAGATGCTCGTTAATTTGATCGCCTTCGGCTCGCAGCTGCGTGCTTCTAGCATCGTTTCACCACGAATGAGCGCGTGTGTCGGCGCATATATCGACAATTCTTGCATAATTCGCGTGCCCATTCGCCACGAACCGAAATTGAAACACGCGCGCTTCTAGCAACGAGCACAAAACTCGTCCGATTGTCAATTTACCATCCACTTTTTAATGCATAGATGCCTCTGCCTATTCCAAGCTTGGATTAAACTGGGAAAGAAACGTTATACGTTACGTTTTGATCGTTTAGAAAGCGAAATAAAGTGATGACTACGCTTAATAAACGTAATCCATTCGAATTTGAAAATATTTTTAATAAGGAAGATAAAAAAAATTCTCAAGAAGGAAGGA